TGCGAGCAATTTCTTATTTTTAGCGCCCGGTGGAGTGTCGTGTTCAACGCAGAAAGGAATGGATTTATGTTGATCGTGCAATTGCCTGGGATACAATAAATCCACCTCTAAAATGAGACCTTCGACCGCATCATCAGGTGTATTTAATATCGCTTCAGGAGTTAATGACTTTAATTTAGCCTCACTAAGCCACTTAAAATTATTTAAAGGTAAACACTGGCTTTGAGCCCACCCATACAAGTTAACCATATCCATATACATGATATGAGTAGGGGGTTTAGTAGGATCGTAATTCTTCCCATTCAGATATTTATTATTGGCCTTGCTGTATTTCGTACAGCATTGCGTTATGCCTCCCCTTATACCTTTTTCAACAAACAACATCATATCAACATCTGTGAGCAGCTCGAGTTTAACTTTGGTGTAATTCAGCATGCATTGCCACGTGTATCCGGGCGCTGTGAAAAAGAATGCTGGATCGAGTTTATGCGTTGTTATGCACTTTTCTCTAAAATTGGTGAATACATCTGCAAGTATAAGCACATCGCTCATCAGATAAAGATCGCTATATTGACCCAAGTTTTGAGTGTCAAATTTTCGCCAAACGTTTCTAGCATGCGAATATTCCTGATCTGAAATGTGCGACTGCCTCAACTTGCTGTAAAATTGTATCTTTTCCGGTAAATTGGTTTCATTAAATTTTTCCCAACTATCCATATATTCATACGGATACACGCCCTTTTTAGTTAAAAGTTTCAACTGCTCATCATTTAAATGGCTTAACGTGCTACGCAAAATTTTGAAATCGTCAAACTTTAAATAGGACGCTAGATTATCTAATGATTCGCTCATGAAGCGATACGAATCTACGAATCTGAATTCGACATCTGCATTCTCCATTTTCTTAGTAAATGAAATGTAACGCTCCTTATTCTTAGGTAGCAGCGTGACTCTCCCAGGAATAGCTTGAGCAATATCCTTAATTATAAAATGACTGTCGTATCCACTAAAATTATGAAAAAATATGGGTATCATATGTGGTACTTTATAACGTAAATTGCAGGCCTGATGGGCACTACCGCGAAACCGACCTGTAAAGTGGCAGTGATCGCGAACTTTGACCTGGGGCGGTAAAATGGGTCCTTCACAAATATGACAATAGGTGGATGCATTATATCCCAACATTTGCAAATCATTTAACGGTTCCATTTGCACTGGATTAATGAAATATTGTTGTAAATTGTTTGAAATTTCTTCAAGTTCACTGGTAAACCAATTAATACATTGCTCACCCCTCTGCAGGCGGAACCTCGACAATGAATTATCAAAGGTGCAATGCAAATAATATGCAATGCTACATACGTTATGCTGCTTATACTTTACGGTGTTTTGCGTCTCATCATCCTGAAAATCTTGTACCAAACATTCCAAATCACAATAAATGATGAAAGGAGCGGTCTGTTTGAATTCATGGTTCTTGAAATATACATGTGAACCGGGCTCTGGCATATTTATTTTACACTTATTAACTAACTTACAATCTAACTCATGTGCATTAAGTTTATCTGGTGAGCTAAAATAGTGGAGACACCTATCGCAAATATACAGCTTTCCATGTCCCTTCGTCAACTGTGAACGTACCAATCTCGACAAATCTTTGATCCAGCAGAAATGAAATCGAACCGCTTCATCGGGTTCCTCACTATTGTGAGCGGTAGCATTATTCTCAATATCCTTTTCAATTTCATAATTCTGCTGGATCATGAGTAAATTAACGTGATTCGCTTTCTTTTCGGTGTTAAGATAAATAGGAACAGTGACATAATCGGATTGCGTTTTTCTAGTAAGGCCGTAAATATTGATAGATAAATTTGGATTTTGTTTTAAAAATTTTTGGAGTTGGTCTAAAGACATGGGGAAGCTAATACCATCAAAATTTAAGATTTGCGCATAATATGGATAAGAAGAGATACGATTGGTGTTGAGGGTAGCGGGGAAGAGGGCTGATGACAACGCCCATCCAAAACACGCTTCATCATTATTTTTAACATTGATGACCGCTTTTTTAACTTGAATTTCTTTAGGTAATTCTATAAAAGACGAGGCGTGCATTAAAGTCACACTGTTTACGTTCACAGTCAACGAAATTATCTTGGACAACCCCCACCCACTGTCCTGTTCCTCAAATTGCATTAAGCGCTCCATCAAATAATCCACCGCGTTATTATTAAATAATTGCTTCAAGTTAGCTTCACTTAAATCGCTAGATAAAATAGTAAAATTCTTAGTTAAAAAACTAAATTCCCTACATGCTAGTGCTTCATCATTCTTATTCAACGAGGGCTTTACAAATTCCGCGCAAAACTCAAAATTTGTTTTCAGCGGGCTATTATATTTGGGATAGATGTCTCTAATCTTAGTGATAAATAACTTACAGCTATCGTTAAAAAATGATCCTAAAGTCTTATGTCCTAGATTGATAATAATACCGGTACTCACACGCGATTTAAATGCGGTAGCCAAATCTCGCCATTCCACCAGCGGTCTTCTACCTAGGGAGGAGCCGGCAATAGACTTCCCCAACTGGTTAATAAGCACCTTGTAGCGTTCCATTTTACCAGCCACAGCTGCAAGGTGCCGTTTATCTCCAACCGTTAGCGGCTCTGCTAGCGAAGATTGGATTTGCCTAAGATTAGCATCGATGATGTTGATGAATTTTGGAACCTTGCTAGCAGAGCCAAGATTATAGTTTTTATAGAAATGGGCAATCATTTCAAGCGTTGTATTCACATTGTCTAAAATATAAGCCATTTTTCCTAGAATATCTACATTAAAATACCGAAAGTTTTATTTAAGATAAAACGCTCTTACCTGATTTTCGCTGCTTAAAAGAGGATTTCTGCTTTGAAGTAGTAGTTGAGACAGTCTGCTCACATACACATACACATACAAATGCAATGACTTAATTGAAATGCGTCAGCTTAAATACATTTCGATGTAGATAAGAGACGGGATGCTGCTTCCGCTCAGAAATTTCTAGAAACACTGCCAGGATGCTGCATCCGCTATGATTAGATAGAAAATTGAAATAAAAGCCGAGTGCAGTTAACGTCTCAGTCAGTGATTCGTGCGAACTAGTTTGCGGCGTTATTTGGTGAGTATGATTTTAATGACTAATTTTGTTAAGTAGCGGTTAGATTATTCATTTTTTCACTTATTTATTTGTTACAGATATTTACTGCTCATAATAATGGAAGAATTTGATTTCGCCTCCTTGAACTCATCTACCTATTGTAAGCCATTCATAAATGCAAAAGATCTGGAAATCGGAAATAAATACCCAATTACTGATATCGGCGTAATCGGCACCAAGTTTGGAGATCGAATTATGGTCGAAACCGAGACCTTCAAGTGCATACTGCCGCAGCGTTACCATACATACCTCACAGAAGAAAATCGGCTGGAGTTCCTCAAGTTGACCGTAACAAATAAAGTTGTATTTATATCTAGTATAGGAGCGGTAGGCTCAACAACGAATTTACAAATAATTACATAACCCTAATTTGAAATATGAATAAAGGTGTTAACCATTATTGATGAACCTTTGAAATATTTCTTTTACTACCCTGCACCTCTACAGCGACCCACCATCACCTCGTTATAGGTTAATACGTCTCCCATTTATAATAATCTTGCGCAACATCGCTAGGCGAGAGGCTCAAAAGGAGTCTAATTATATTGAGACGAAGAGCGAATTGTTAAGTTTAAGTGTAAATGACTTATTGAAAATATGGATCAAGATTCCAACCGTATTTCAAAGAGATTGTGAGCTGCGGAATCGAATACACGTAAATGGCGGGAACAGGAAGCAACATCCGGTTATCGGCAGGAAGCAGCATCCGGTAAATTCTAATCAGCAGGAAACGTAAATGGCGGGAACAGGAAGCAGCGTCCGGTCACGTCAACAGGAAGCAGCATCCGGTAAATTCTAATCAGCAGGAAACGTAAATGGCGGGAACAGGAAGCAGCGTCCGGTCACGTCAACAGGAAGCAGCATCCGGTGTTGTAAACAGGATATCCTAATCAGCAGTATGCGTTTCCTGGTCCAGAAATAAACGCGGGAAACCTAGATATGACGTAAACAAAATGGCCGATACTGCATTCTGATTGGTGTGACGCGTTTCCTGATCCAACCCAAAATGTGACGTAAACAAAATGACCGACCGAAATACTCGATTCTGATTGGTGTGACGCGTTTCCTGATCCAACCCAAAATGTGACGTAAACAAAATGGCCGACCGAAATACTCGATTCTGATTGGTGTGACGCGTTTCCTGATCCAGAAACACCGGAAGCAAAACACGCAAAATGTGACGTCACAAAATGGCCGACTCACGCGCTCTCATTGGCTCACACGTGACCACGTGACCACAATACTCGATTCTGATTGGTTTGACGTCACTTCCTGATCCAGAAGTCCCTTTGCTCATCTACTTTTAGAAACTGTCGATTATTCATTGTACCAGTATAAATAAAAATAAAAAATTGTAACGTTAATAATTAAATTTAAATTCTAAATTTTGTTTTAAAATTCGAGTGTGTTATACATTTCGTCACAGGTTCTATATTAGGTGAAAGTCCTCTGACTCACAGCATATACAGCGTGTAGAGTTTACGTTGATCATAAACGAGCACGCTTTTGCTCTAACTTTAATAGACACTGCAGCAAGATTGAACTAAAAATAACTGCTTGATGAAATGATACACCAAATATACCAATTTATATATGTATATTATAAACTAAGAGTAAACTCAACATCAATGGCAGTTTAACGAAATGTAAATACGTTTAAGATTGTCACAAAATAATAATAACAAATAGACAGGTAACTACTTAAATCTATCAAAAATATAAAATATTTAATATAAGATAATGGAAATTGAAAGACAAAAACAAAGATAGCATAAAAATATTACAAAACGAAAAACTTAAAAAATAAAATAATACAAAATAATACATTATAAGTGCTACTGGAAGGAATAATAATAAGTACCTATTTATAAAATTTAAAAATGTTACAATTTAACACTTAAACCTACTTAAAGACATAACATTTGAAATTAGAATAAAAAATAAAATAAAGTACAATTGCCATCCGTCTTAAAAGCGTAGGTACCTACTGGATAACGATAGTGGAATTGCAATCTTTTATGAGGTATGTACTTTTCTACAGTAATAGCCCAGCTCCTTGCATTTTTCGCATAAATTTTGGGGGTGCACCTTCGATTGGTCGGAGACGTCCAATCCGTCCGGTTTTTCTAATGAACGCTAAAATTTAGAAAAATGCGATTAAAGCTATCTGACAGTTGACCTCCATCGATACAAAAGTATTTATGTAGAATGTTATCTAACAGACAATTTTAACCGAAACATGAAAAACGGCTCAAAGAGCGCTCTTCGCAAAGCGAGTGATAATCCAAAGAACAAAAACAGTGTGAGAATTTTGGGAACCTCGCTACCATTTCAATACTGAAATGCATGATTTTGATTGTACTCGCACTAATCTAATTTATAATAATTTGAGATTTTACTGGTCGAGAAAGGTCGAAATGAGGGGGGGGGTGCGAGGGCTGACGGAAAAAATCCGTCCGTGGTACGTGCAGTGTTTTGAACAAACATGGCGGGCATTATAAAAGCTCAATAATTGGTCATATTTACCTGTTTATGCGGATATACATTGATATGACATTTGATGCATTCCTGACCCATGTTGGCCCATGAATTTCCAGACATCCACTTCCGTTTACATTTGGGACATGTGTACTCTCCAAAGCATCGTTTTCGACCTTGATACGGAGTTTTGCCTTCACCTTTCGGCCGGGCCTAGAACAATTACTATTTGTACAAAGTGTTCAGTTTGGTAAAGTTAGTAAGTGGATAGGTACAATGAATAATTAGTAAATTGCACTTAAGAGGTGGTATAGTGATATTCCACAGTTAGTGGAAACATTCAACTTCTGACGCATTAAATTAAGAATAATAGTAACGCGCTTAATAGTCCAATGCTATATTATGATGATAGCCTCAGAGGAATAAATTTATTCCTATGAGATGATAGTATTGTCGTGTCATTCCTCTGAGAAGTATAGGAACCAGAGGACCATTGCATGGCGTATTTTCGCGGACCTTACACATTAAACGATCATAAGGGGCGAGTCCGAGGGTCCCTATGCAGCTTTGGAACCGTGTTGCGCGGGGGGCTTGAATACTCGTGTTTTTCTATTAAGTATTGCAAATCTGAATAATTCAAGTGAATATCGTAGAAGAGTACTCTCACACGAAAAATGGAAGGTCTGAACGATACCTATCTTTCAAGGGGGAGAGCTTCAAATTCGCGTATGTGGTAAATGGAGTATCAAAAGAGGGTATTTTCAAAGGGGAACGTAACGGGTAGTTAGAAAATCAAGCCTGAAATGGGCGCTCGTACTAAAAATTCGGATTTGGGCACATGAAAAAAAGTTTCTGGTAAAATTATGCCGACATATTAAAACTAATTAAATCCTGCTTTCATCTACAACCCTTATAATTGTCACGGAGCACGTATTTTCCCACCAGTTCTGGTGACCACTCTGTATATGAACACCCGGTATCTAGAGGCGCTTCTTTACGAAGTGTCGTACCGAAAATATTTGTGTTGGTTCTAGGAAATGAAGATATAAAGTGTGTTAGCGGTCGCTGCCGTAAACAAAAGCTCCTCCGCTGTTTGCAACCGTTCCCGTCGGCCGTCAAGATATTTCAATTACCTAAGTATTTTTGTTGCGTCCGAAAGCAAAAAAAAAGACTAGGCCGAATTAGTATTTCAGAATTTTAGCCCGTTAAGTAATTATTAGATTATTTTGGTTTCCAATGGTACATATGAAAATAAGCTTAAAACCAGTCGAGGTAAATCCAGCCAATTTTGTAAGTGCAATTAACTGTGTTTCAGTAAATAGCATCCGATTAAGTCGTGAGGGGTTTCAAAAGAAACGCTCTTAATTAATTTGAACTTTAAGACCAATTACAGATTTTTAGGACGTCAGCAGTTCGCAAAAGAACTGGTAAGTTTTGGACAGTATTAATCGCATACGTTCGCGGGTCCGGAGTTTCCTACGTTCTCTCTCCGTATTTTTAGAAGTACCAACGCTTAATCTAGAGGTTTCATAGATTATGCGTCGGAATCCCAGACGAAGAAATCTCGCTGTTTTCATATCCTAACGAGCCGTTGTTTTACAATATCGTTCATTCTGCCCATCCAACTCTCAATGTTTCAAAGGAGTGAAAGGGATACAACGTCATTGTTTGAAAAGTCATCCCAATGACATTCCAGCGCTGTGCATAATTAAGAGCATACCATGATTAAGAGGTCTCGTCAACTTTAAAAAAAGCATTGACATTTACCGGCGGATCACCTAATGACCCTAATGTTTTAAGTGACCGTGTTTGAACTTCAAATCAAAGGAGCCACTCATTATTTAAGACCTACGATTTTGTATTCACCGGCCTTTTCAACCATTTGGATCAACCTAGTGGACAATCAGTACCTATCTCTAGTTTGAACGACCAAGGGGCAGTCCTTACTACTGGTGTATATTAGACATCCATTCGTATTTGTATTCAAAACGTTCTGATAGATGCCTCTCTTAACGATAAACATAGCGCACATAGTTATGGCCTTTTGGGAAGTGTTGATCAATGCATGGAAAATGCGCTGAAGTTACTCGTCTTAGGACGGAAACCTTTTTACTTGTTTATATATGTTACAAACTATTTTAAGGTAAAGTAATACATTTTTATTAAACGTAAATTTGATTACGTGATTTATTTATTGACAATTAATGAACAATAAATTTATAACAGTTAAAATATTATTTAGCACTCACATATACACAATTTATAACAGCGTGAACTATTTATTACTTCGGCTTTGAACTTGGAACTGTCCTGAAACGCAATTCGATTTGCTTATATAGCAAACTCGAGTGTTCTCAAGCGCTCCCGAATGTTCTCGAACATTCTAGAACAAAACATCATATTTCCCGGAAAAATTGCGTCACAACCAACTTCGTTCTGTATCGCAGATCACTAATCTTTCATGGCGCCTCGATGTCTATCGGGATTTCTGGAATATTCGCTCCATTATAAAAGGTCAGATATGGGATGACCATTTAAGAAGACACCACTCAGATTTTTCATTATTTTGTCGATTTTAATCATGAATATAATATTAAAATTTAAATCGATTTTATTATTTGGTGAATAATTACTAGTGAAAATTTGCACCCCCAACAAAGAAGAACATGGTCCAGTTTGAGTGAAAGATAGGAGACAATTACTTAGAGATCGTGAACAATTTTGTTGAGCTAGTCCGCTACTATTGGTTTGCTAACGCTCTTACATTTTTGACAAGGAGATTTCAAAATAGTCATCAGTGATGCCCTTTTAGTGCATAAATGGCGAGCAAAAATTCAAATCAACCTTAGTTTAATAGACCACTCGGTGTACTTATACTTTAAAAGGTATGTAATTATGTATGTATTATTGTATTAACACGACACTAATGAATCTTATCATTTGGAAAGAGTGGAATTCAATCTGCACGTTTGTAAAAAAGATAGGGAGCTTATATAAACACTTCACAATAAAATAGTGCTTTGCAGTGTCTAAACATTAGTCATACATATGATTACAATGGCTATCTTTTATAAATTCTAGATAGTCTTACTTCCTTTGCTTTATATTTACATTAAATTACCGTGACGTGATTGCGATAGTTATGATATCGTCGATAATTAGTAAGTACTGGGTAACGGGTCACACTTTATGGGTAGATAATACAATATTTTTCTATAGTTACATGATGATGTAAAACCACCCCCTTTCGCTACTTTGGTTATAGCAATCACTAAGTACCGTGTGTCCTATTTTGGTTGGGACTGCAGTGTATTTCAGCTGTATCGCACTGGACGTAAAAATATCTAAAATAGGCAGTTTTTACTTTTATTTTATAGCAGATGTTAAATTGATATCTTAATAGATTTGAATGAGTAGATATAAAAATAGATAAAGTGAAACAAATCATTATGCTTTCCAATGACATCTGTCATTCTTATTAAACATGTGACGCGAAGCACGAATTAAAATAAAGTTCAGAACAGAATACAATATTGTTTCCATGGAAACGAAGCGAGAACCTAATCTTGATATTTTTGTGTCGTCTAAATTAAATACCTACAGATTTGTCAGAAATTGTATGATACCTATGGCCGAGCCTATGGCTTATGCTATAAAATAAAGTTTTGTATTATACACGCCAAGAAATGGAAAGTAATGTTAAAACATCCCTTTATGACCTTATCCTGTGCTAGAGGTTGCAACGCCGACAAACTGTTAAATGTGACAAAGGGTCAAATGACCCATAATTTGGAAGTGCTTTTCATTACTTACACAACCATTCTTATTTTTTAAAATATCGATTCAGCTCTAGATCTTACATTTCTCCATATCTCAGCTCAGTAGTTATGCTCCGGCATTCGGCGATAGTCGTAGTTCCACGAATTTTCGTTGGAACACACTGTTGTTTGTTATTTTATGTTGTAGGATTTGCTATATTTTTCGAAAAATTATTTTACAGGGTGTCTAACTTAAGTTTGTAACATATGGAAAACTTGTTTGTTATAAGTTTAACGAAAAAAAGTTATTCTTGATAAAAAGTCCTGCTTATTCCAAAACTCTAAATGCATTACTTACTTTTTCTTTAAAATGCGAGGCTCTCGAATTGAAAAAAAAAACTGTCTTGCAACAACATTTTTCGGCGACATCTAGTGCATAAATCTATAAGCGTAATTTTACAGTTTTGAAAGGTATGTTTATAATGCTGCTCAATAGAGGGCGCTTTTAAGTGTAAATGTGTTACTCATAAAATGAATCAGGTTAGCAATCTGTTGTTTGTGCATATCTGCGGTAGAACTATTAGTCTAAAACCATATTTTTTATACATAAAACACTGCATGGCGGGGGGGGGGGGGGGGGTGATCTCTAAATAGGAATGTGCAAAAACGCTATCATATTAAAATTCCACACTTTCTATGTGCCATGCCGAAAAAGACTTTGGTTCTCGCTCTGTAACGGGAACCCGCGAACAGCGCATCATATTTAATTGAATTTTTAAAATCTTTTTCATGTGTATCTCGAGTAGGCTTAATGGCGACAGCCAAATGGGTTTTTATAGCATTGGTTAGATCGCAAGTTTCCGCGATAAGAACAGACGCGAGTCGTCCAGTTTGCGTTGGTTCCATTTCAATTTTCTGACAGGCACAGCTTGCAGAGAGGGAAAATAGATTTCGATTGGTAGAGAAAGCGACATATGTCCCAGCTTAGTTACATTCACAGGGGTTGGAAATTTCTACGGCACTGGTAAAACTTTTACTGTAATTAATTTTTTATGATAAAATAATTAATACCACGGCCAGCTCAGTAATAAGTAAACTTTTAATGATTCTTACTTGTTTGAATATATGTTGTTGAAAATAGTCCCGTTCCAACTCCACTCTTTTTTTACATTGGTCGCGATTTAAAATATAATGTAATTCATTGTGCGAAAAATTAATATTTCAAGCCCTAACTCGTGATCACGTTCCACATCTAATTATTTATCTAAGCTTTTTCTATTATTCATTAATTCAACACCTGGTACATTTTACCATTCAAAAATCAACACACCTCTGTATGCTAAGTAACATTTTAACCCCCACAAAAGAATTGTAACAATGAACTTAAAATCGTTAGTTTGGGTTCGTTTATCGTTCATAAAAAATATAAAAATCGGTTCACGGAATAAAGTCCCGTAGGTCGACCTCTTTAGGAATGTTAAATTGACTTCAAGCATACATTTTTAAAACCCCCCAAAACGATCGAAATTCAGAAACTTGGATTGTAGAACGCCTTGTGCAATACAAGCTGACCTACTGTATCACGTGGTAAATTTAGCTGCACGTTGAAAATTAATTTTGAGGGATGGTTGGCTACTCCAAATCGGGAACAAACCAGGCTTCAGATTTCTCGAAATTTAATAGATGAACTTTTGTTTATGCACTGGATTAATTTACCAATGTTCCGCAGTATGGAAATGTCAACATTACCAGCATAACTTAGAGTTTTAATAGCCAGAAACAGTGGGAATTAATTAAACCTTCTTACCGGTTACCGTTTTATTCAATCTATTATCACCGCGTATACACCTCGGTATACACAAGAGACGTGCATTTGATTAATAAACTTGTTTTTTTTTAATTTCTAGTAACTAATCACTCCACATATAGCGCAATCAAACGTGCTGTACCTTAAGCACAATGTTTTCGCGGTAACAATTTATTTAAACGCGATCAATCAGCTCCTATAATGCAAAAAAACGACAATGTTCGCATATGTATTAAGAAAGGTCCCTTTTTACATAAATACGCCGCTTATTATTTGCTTTTCTCGTAATGGCAACTCACAATGAATTGACAACGTACCCACGACAATAATTTCGTCAAAATGGTGGCACAGTTTTCCCTTAAAATTACCTTTAATTGAAAATCAATCTTTACGCAATCTATAAACGCCACGCTCAACACGCATAGTTTCGCTTCAAAATTTTTGGAAATAATCCCTTTCTCCCACCTAATTTTCAGTTATGTACTTAAAAAACCGAAACAGATCCAATGAGAACCAGGCTCCGGCTATGTTTTTTTATAGAGGCAGAGGCATGGCAAAAAGTGCGTCCCTCATTATGCATTTGACGCAAGACTTTTGAGGGCCCAGAACAAGAGGGACAATAAATAAACAAATAAGGACGGTTTTTAAAACCGGCAACACAGTGGCGTTTCGACTCTTATTTGGTTTTACACTCGATTCTTATCTAAACGCGCATTTTTTCGCATATAGATCTATTCTGTTTCATTATCGAGCGGTACACGTATAAAATTTGTAAATTCAAAACCAAGATTTTCTAAGGCTAAGGCGAGACGTAAAGTTTCGAGTTTGGGTGTACTAACAGGATTCCGGTTCCATTTTAACTTGCGACCCGCGGTTCTAGGGCGTGCATATTTTCATGAAGTTTTATTATCGTCGAACTTGTCTGTTAATATCTTTGACCTGGGGAAAGCTCCATATAACAACCAATACGAAGACGAACGAAACCTATGAAGGTTCACGTAATGACGAAGTAATATAAATCCTAATCCTGTATGTAAGAAACTGTACAAGAAAGAGCTTCCTATACCATTTTTGGTACAAGACACAATATAAGAAAATACACAGTGATAATACTCGACTATGTTCATAGGGTCACACCACCTTTTATTATATCTCTAGAACAGGGACCGGGATCGGACCGAAAAAGAACCGAAAACCGGACCGAAATCGGTATTTTTCTGGACCGAAAACGGAACCGAAACCGTTATTCCTTCAGAAATGGAAACGTATTGAGAACCGGAACCCATATTACTTTTTTCGGTTCTTTTCGGTTTTTTACGGTTCTTAACATGTTATTGGAAGTTGAAGGACGCGCCGGCAACCACGTCCTGAAAACTGATAAAATATTACTCTGATTGCCATCGGTGGATTATAAATTTTTAATAAGGTGTCAAAATTGAAGGCATTACGGGTGGCGGTAGCGCTAATTTAGCCACTACTTAAAAAAAATAAAAAAGTAGGGACGAGGTTTTAGAAAATAAAATTTTCTGTTTTTTAGTAATAAATTAAGTGTAAATACATATTTCCCTCTTCCTCCTTTATTGCCCTTGTCGTTATAAATTAGCTACACTGACGATACGTCACGTTTTGGTATTCATGACTTTTTCTTCACACCTATTAATTAACAAATCACGTTAATGAATTTTTTGATTTCCATACTTTCTGAAAAACTAGAACCGAAAATAACCGTTATGGACCGAAAAAATGCGCAGAACCGAACCGTTATTTCTTTTTAGAACCGAAACCGGACCGGAACCGTTATAAATATTTTCGCTTAAATATAAACAGAACCGGAAGCGATATTTCATTTGAGTCCGGGTCCCTGCTCTAGAATAGTAAATTTTAAAAAAACCTACCTGTGCGCAATCCTTAATGTAGTGCCCTTGTTCAAAACACAAATGGCACAGATAGTTCGATGGAGGTTTCTTTACGTTGTGACGAGTTTCTAGTAAATTGAATTCGGACAATTTTGTGGTGATGTCATCTATATCGTGCTGACCGTAATACGGATATCGGTACTGGACGAAAGACGAAGTAATAGGATTCCAAGTGGGCGACAAAAGCTTCGGCTGCAATTTAACAAACTCAATCTTTTATAGCTTATCTTTATCGGAAGTTTACTTGGTATTTTTCTATGTTGCTATGAAAATTGAGGTACTGATTCCATGTCGGCGTTACCGTTTGATGAAAGCTTGGGTACTCGCCCGCTGGAAAGGACCGCGTTGAAAGAGACGGCTGCGGTTCAGACATCATCCTTATCGTTGGGGGCATTTTCTGGAATACAAGGAGCTTAATTGAAATACTAAAGTTATCAATTAGTTGGCATAAATATATACACTATCTCACGGTTTAAATAAATTCAATTGATTTATTTATAAACAAACTTGTGCTTATCGCGTATACCTCCGGCATTACTAGTTTTTTAGTTCTACGATAATTTTATAATGTAAGCAATGATTTACCTTGCAATTTATCTTCATTACTCACATCGCGATAAAATGCGCGCAATTTTTCTGTTATAAATTATTTCTTTGGTACTATTAGTAATAAGTAGAGAATGTAAACTAAGCCAAAAACATGTTGGCTAACGGGTATTATTAAGAGCTGTAGGTACTATAAATATGTAATTTGGCCAGAGTTGGAAAATCGTAGTTCCGGTCATCGAAAATATCCATTAGGTGCCTATTCGAAGAGAGAAGGTTGACCGTAAAAATCGGACATCTACGCATGTCAGGGATTGATGTGTTTGGCAGAAAAAACCACCTGAAAGACTTACTCTGCCTAATTTAACTTGGGCAGTCTAGAAACGGAGATACAAATTTGGCGTAAAATTTTTGGTTTTTGAAATATTTTGAAAAATCCGATTTTACAACTATTTTTGTAAATATAATATTTGACCTAGAGCAAAACCAATGACACTTCTCTACAGGCGTTGTTAATTTTTTAATGCAACGTTTCGGCCATGATATACCGATATCGTAATCTTAAAGCCCTTTTTTATTCTAAATTCAAAAATGATTTAATTGCGTTAATTCCCTTCTCAAGATATTCGCGTATGAAATTTTACCGAAACGCGACTTTTAATCCGGCTCATATTCAATAGCACTGATGCTTGAACTCGTAGCGATTGGTGCGAGTTTTACCTCGCTGTCTCTTTTCGTTCTCGAGTTAGAGAGAGAGAGAGAGGAACAGACGGACAAAACCATCACATACTGGAAATTTTTGTTCTTTCGAAAATACTACCAAACTAATATGTGAAAAACCAACGTTACTGTCAGTTCAAATACGCCATTACCACATTCATTTCATTTTCTTGGTGATATTGGGGTGTACTTTTGGACAATAATTTTAAATATTGTACAACTAGGCCGGCTACAGATAACTGACCCCATACGGTTGCCAGTAGCCAGTAGGAAAACTCCGATGCAAGTTGAAACGAATCGATAGTTTAACCGTGTGCCGGCCCGTGCAGTGGAGTTGAGTTGAATCTTGACTGCGGTACTAAGGGTTCCTGGTTCGAATCCGGGTTCGGGCATGGATATTTGAAAATGTTTAGTGGGTTGGGCTGGTAGAGCAACTTTCTTATTTATAGAGATAAGGATTTATGGAAATTTTAACCACAGATTCTTCTAGTAAAGACAAGCATATCGCATATTGTAAAAATCAGTTGTGACATGCTAACTGTCTTATTTTACAGGCATATTTTGTGGCATAACTATTTTCCTTTGTAGACATAGGTAAATAGTTCGTTACATGACCTTTCAGAAAGTAATGATCAATTCATGCAAAATGCACTAATAGTAGAGTGCTCGTTGCAAAGAAAGTCGTCTAGAAATGACTTCCGTGGGGGTTTTGGTGTCACAAGCTGAAATTCACAAAAAATCAAAGGTTATCATATACTGATTCTAAATGTCAAGGCCGTCCAAAATCGGTCCATGCATTAGGGCACAAAACGCGAAAAACGAGTTAAGCACATGTACGGAAAGAAGAAAAAATAACGAATTTTTTCGTATATAAATCAAAATGTTCTTTGTACAGTGAAAGTAATAATAAATTATCAAACGTTTCGAATTACATTGGGTCTTACGGAAGAATTAAACTTCAAAAGCGATTATCTCAGTTCGATATCCCTAAAAATTCGACAAATTTTGAGCAACTTTTGCGTTTACATCGTATTATTTAATAAACGGAAGCCTAAATCAAAAAGTTTTACTCTTAAAAAAAGTTTCGCTCATCGTTTATCTTTACATTGCACCGAGAATTATAATTTTATCTGCAGTAGTAACCAAAATATGTAATTAAAAGTAAAACAACGAACTTTTTACTCACTCACAAGCGACGCGGATTCACGCCGGTGAATACAATCCATCTCTACATTTCCCGTAGCTCCATTTCGCTCTTACATCATCGTAGGTACGCTTATTTGTATCAGCGGTACGCTGTCGGCGCGGGTGTCAAAGTATATAATCGTATATTAATATATTAAAATTAATTAAATAATACAGAAAATTACATAAATGTGAAACTCTAAAACAGATCAAAGTAGGTGGCAGGTGAAAAAAAATTGTAAATACAGAACATCGCTTTAATTTATAAAACGTTATACAACTCCTATAAATATAACTTTTTAATTGTATCATACCAGTAACTAAATGATATGTAACAACAAAGACAACCAAACGCTAAACTAAAACGTAAACTAAAGGAATTTAATTACTTAGGTAGGTGCATTAAAAGAAAAAGGCGCATGGAAAAAATCTGACTCAATTTTTTAATAACCTACTCGTCATCTGAGCATTCAGAATCGCCTTGCTCTGGAAGAAGTATTGATTGGGATGCGGTTAGTGGATTTTTGCATGTTTTTTGGGCCATGCATTTGCAAGAGCCTATGCAACACAATTTGTTCTTCTTACAAGAACACACCTTACTGGCACAATCTATACGAATATACATAAATATATTGTTCAAGCTGAGTGAGTAAAGTAATAGGACTTACCCTTTTTACATCCACAAGAAGTTAGAACAGCCAAATTGGTGGGGAATGGCGGCAATGTGGTAAAAACAGGCAAAAGTTCGCGTTTTGCACTAACATACCATCCGAATTCTGTTGTGGAGGGTAATTTTGGGAGTGGTACTGATGCCTGCAGCCATACTTTAGTTTGAAAACACACCCTTAAACAGTGTTGCCTCAGTGCATCTTCTGTTGGTGGCAACTTATTGATGGGCGTAGCAGCAGCCATAACTCCACGCAGTGTATTAATGGACGTGATATTTGGATTCTTGGAATAGATTTTTAATACGAAATTGTACATGCGGATGAACAATTCTTCTGAGATGTCATCCATGCCCACCCCATTTAAGTAGTGACTGTATGCCAGATATACTTTCCAACAGGTCTTCTTTCCGAATCCTCCAAATTGACTTGTAGTGTCACAACCCGTTAAAGCATGGAATGCTGGTAAATTATTGGAAAGATTTTCAGACATATTGATATCATGAATTGGAATGTACCTTAAGTTTTCCCCTTTGCCAACTTTCATCCAGAGTTCAGGAATAAGCTGCTTTTTGAAGTGCACTAACAGAACTAGCACGTCTGTATCGCTACACTCCACAATACACCGGGTGTACCCAGCCATTTTAGCAGACAACACATGCAAAATAATTCTAGTATCCGCTTCTTCATGATCAGAAGTAAGAAATTTACAAGAATCTCCTAATTCAACATTAGTTTTAAAATCGGTAACATTTTCGAACCCTCCACTTGTAGCAAATTGGATCTGTCTAGTTTTAGAAAGGGTAATTAGTTGTTCTGATAGAAAATTTGTCAATTGCCTTTTATTAAATACAGAGTTAATGAATAAGTGCCATTGTTGAGGTAACGTAGTGTTGGGATTATCGATTATTCTGCGAATACCAACTGTTTGACCTCTTTTCATCCGAGTAACATTTTTTATAGAATTTTCCCTGTAGTTATCAAAAACCACATCGACTCTTTTTGCATTGAATCTGTTAGTAAACACAATTTTGGAAAAAATTTCCGCATATTCTCCGAACGTTTTGCAATTCAATGGTTTGCCCAGGATTTGTACAATTGACATACCATCATATATGTGGCATGTCTTCGTGTTTTCTTTTTCTGGAGGTAGCATTGTACAAGACTGGGTATATTTTTCGAGTATGTTCCCCAATGCACTTTTGTGTGATGGAGTGCCTAGTTGTCCATTCGCCGTTAGAGACATAGGAAAATGTGTCAATTCATGTCGAAATATATCTTCGTAATTTATATTCCTTCCCATTTCTTTTGCAGCCAATATTTTCTGTAAAAACTGTTGCCCCAACAATTTATCTGAATTTGTCGAAGGTTGCTCTTTTCTTTTCACATATGCAGCTGTGCGTATTTTTTTAAGTGGTTTGTAAAAATCTGTGCTATCCATACTTTGAATGAAACTTTCAAGAGCTGCTTCACCTCTTAGTTTAGCACCAAGTGTTGCTGTTTGTAATTCCTCCGAATATATCTCATTTGTAGCAATAGATATCACATTTTCAGTATGCGTAGAAAAAACTCCATATTTAAGAAATTGTTCTTGTAAGGTTAAAACAGTTTGTTCATCGATAAGAATCCTTTGCTTACCTATTTCAATATTTTGGCTACTACTATCGGGATCTAATTTCAAGGATCCCCGAAATGTGTTTATCATGTCACCTATTTCATTAAAACTAAGGTACCACTCATCTAATCTGGTACTGTTTTTAGTTAAACCAATAATTCCTCCAGCATCCTTTGACGTTTTGTTCACGTGCTCTAATGCTTGGTCAACCGAAATATGATTGAATCCTCCCTTAGATTTTTTCACCACAAAATGGCCATTAAGAAATTCTTTATGCACGGCAGGTGCAATAAGGGACAAATTCTTCATATCACACAAGTACACACTACCCCACCTGGCGTAGTGTGTATGGTCATATGCAAAAAACATCGGAAGCATTTTTCTAAAACTTTGCAAATGCAGTTCCCATTTACCAGTTCTTTCACTGTACAAGAATTCTAACAAAGTTTCTACCATATTCAAGTAACTACACCAAAGTTGAAATGTAGGGGACTGGCTATCAATAAAGTCTCTAAATGCATTTTGCAACTCTTCACAACTTTTAATAATGTCAAAAAAAACAGTTAAAGGTTTTTGTTTCTTAATTTTTTTAGAAATTTCGTTAGCCTTTAATCTCGACATGTTTATAGTATGTATGAGATCGCTCTTACATTCGATTAACCATTT